CCCCAAAACCCCAAAACCCCAAAACCCCAAAACCCCAAAACCCCAGCTAGGTTAGCCAGGTTGAATCAATTTATAGGGCCAGAACGAGTGTGACTGAGAGATTTTATCCATCGAATCTAACGGGGTACTATTGCATGTTTATTATCTGCTATGAGTTTTCTTATGGGCATAGAGGTATTATAGGGTATAAACTATTGGCTAAATTTACCTCCTCATCAATGGGCATACTGTAGAAGCTATGAGTTTGGTTACTGTCTTTTTAAACCATTCTGATATAGTATTTGCTATATTTCCTCAAATATTTTTAGATATTCCGATTTTTCTGATAAGTTTAGCCTCTCCAACACGCTTATTTCTCCAGAGCTCAATACTTATCTAGCCATGAAATTGCAAGACTCATCTCTGCTGTCCAAAATTGGATGAAATTAGTGGGCAAAAGTACATATCCTTTAACGCTTATGGTAAGATTTTCATAGAAATATTTAAGTTTTTGTGCAGCATAAAGGTGCAGTTAACTTTTCTCGTCGGGTATTTGAGATTTTCCTTAAATTTTCCAACCTCTTCAAATTGTTCTTCTTTGATACTATCTTATTTAGAGAGGTGGGGTACCTTAAAGTGCTAATTAGGCATTCTGGGATTATGCATCAGACTATCAGGTGGTTTAAAATTGTTCCAAGTCAGAAAATTCATAATTTTTTGTAGTATGCTAGAAATTTCAGGCAAAAGGAGTAAATTAATTAGCTTCAGGGCATCGCATTAGCATTCCAAATGGCTTAGGTGGTAATAAGCCCAGCAATGTTCAAAGACTCTATCATCTTCTGTCTGGTTGAAGCTTTGCATAAAAATATATGATTATGTTCTACAGAGGTATACACAGAATATATAAAGGAAAATCATTATCCTATTTATAATCATTAATTATTCAAAAATGTTATTCACTAAAGACAGTAAGTTTCACCAAAAGACTTCATCACAGTTACATAGAGTAGCTCATGGGCTGATAGGATAGTATGATGTTTGGCTACTCTATGAAGCCCCTGCCTAATCATAAATCCCTTCATCAGCTAAACGGCCGGAATTTCTGGTCATGATCCTTTCCTATTTTTGAAGGTCTGACTTTCTGTTTACAACCAAAAATTAATCTTTGCTTTAGAAATAGATATTTCCAATCTAACTTCAGAGACTTTCTTCAAGGAAAACCCACTTGACGAGTTCGATCTAAAAGGCGATTTCACTACTAGACTTTCAGATGCGTTAGACTACGAGGGATGCCAAGGGAATTTTAAGATATTACTTCATGAAGAGCAAGATAAGCCCTCTTGACAAAACCAGCAAAAAGACTGATATCTTACTCATGAATTGGATGGCTTTTTGGACAAATTCAATAAAAGTTTTGAGGGTTATGAGCACTTAGGAGGCATGAACTTCTCAGGCCAGCAAGCTAGTTCATCCCAAATGCCTTTCTTTGCTGAAGCAAAAACTTATAAGGAAGAGAAGATGGATGACCAACTATCAAATTTGGCTGTGTCATCCTCCATAGATGTTGAGAAACCTCAACAAAAGTCGAGATGGAACAAGACAAAGGACAAGATGCTCTTTCAGCTTCTCAGAACTTACAAGAAGCAAGGGGTGACTTCCATTGAAGAGTTATATTCTATTAAATCTTATGAGGAAGCCAGAACTAATGTAGGACTGAAGTGTCTTCGCAAAGCCATGAACTGGAAACAAGGTGCTGAATTCCTTCTTATGAGGATAATCAAGAAGACTAAGAAGCCCTTCTCTAGTAGAGAAACTAAGATGCTCAAGAAGTTGCTTAAGGAATGCAATTATGAGAATATTGACTGAGAGAGCCTATGAGAACACTTCCCTGGCAAAAGCGTTGGTGATATGGAATTAGCATGTGAGAAACTTACCAAGATTAGAAAAGATAAATGCCTGACTAAAGTCACTAAGTTGTAATTTTTATTTGAGTTTAAAGAAATTTGTGATTTGAGGTGGGTAGAAGGGCATAAAGAGATTCTTACAGATTTTTCAGTCTTTTGGAAAATTTTTGATAGATTCTGGAGAAGTATACATATTACATTTTGTCAACATTTTGTGTGCCATCTTACCTTTAATGGGCATGTATATTTTCTAGAGCATCTTAATTAAAAATCCCCATGGTTAACTGCAAATACTCAAAATCAGCACTCAAAAATCCTAAATTTCTGATATTTTAAAAATATTTATTCTTGATTTTATACACTTATAAAATTAGGCGATCCAATTTTGTCCGTAACTTCTGGGGTTTTGGGGTTTTGGGGTTTTGGGGTTTTGGGG